ATCTGTATTCATATCATATCGAAACCAATCCTACTCCAATCTTGATCTGACAAAAACAAAACAAAACAAAAAACCCCACCTCTTCCAGAAGTTCAGGAGCTCAAGGACCCTGGGCCAGATAGAAGGGTTGGCCTCACTGAACTGCACAGGAAAATTCCCATAATAACCAGCACTGAACTTAATTTCTCAAGGACTCCAGGCTACCTTTTTTATTGTCATTGGAAGGGAACATGAATGATACCTGCACCCACCCAACCCCTGGTGGCTCCTCCTCAGAGCAGACTGTACTGGTGACACTCTCCCAGAGCTGTTGTCCTGCCTCCAGCCTTGCCTCCCGGGAGCAATACCTGAGAGGTGGTTTCTGAGCCATTTCCACTCCTTCAGCTGAGATGAAAAACTTGTAAGAGCTGTGTTTGGTTTCCCAGTGAGATAATTGTTGTTATTCAGATCACCAGTAATTAGAACCCAACTGTGGCAATAAATGAAGGATAAAGAAGAAAAGAAAGGCAGCACAGTGTGGTCTAGTCTAGTGGTTCCATGAGACTTGGTGTCTGCAGTCTTGGTCCAATTCCCTGTGGCCTTTCTGACTCACTTTGGGGAGGTCACATTGTGTTTGCCTGATGCTTTTTGGATCAGACATGTGCTTGTGGTTCACTTGGCCTAATGTCACGAGCACAGGTTGTTAATGCAGCAAATGCAGGGATTAAAATATTGTCCACACAGCAGGTGAGTAATTATCCCTTAAAAAAGACAATCAGATGTCTGTCCTCTGCAGGCTGGATGAATTTATAATGAGGCTAGGGGTGAGAAATTTCTCTAGCTTGGCTCAGTTGTAGCAAACTCCTGAAGTGGAGTGAATAGATTCAAGTGGATTTGTTAAATTTTTCGGATGCATTGAGAGTCTTCTAGAATCTTTGGAGGTAGATACTCCTCACCCTGGGCAAAATGGTTTCTCTCTTCAGGACTGAGTCACTTTGGGCCCCCGTGAAGCAGACACTAAGCTGGGGTTAGATGGGGAAGAAACGTTAGAGGAGATGATGGTGAAGGACTATGGGAAAAGAAGTCAGAGTAGGGCCAAGGCCAGCATACTCATTAGGGACAGAGGGCACAGTGCTTAATAGCCATGACATTTTAGGGGTCCATAAAAATGTCTGCATCTTAGTATTTTAAAATCAGAAGGAAAATATGAGTACAGAAATAACCAGTACAGTAACATACCAGGCCTAAAATTACATTCATCTTTCTGCCAATGCAGTCATAGACTACATTTTTAGTATTGCTAAGGGAGAAGGGGCCCATAGCATAAAACATCCCTTGGGCCCACAAGTCACAGTGTGGCCCTGGGCAGGAAGAGCCTCAGTACAGGATACACATCCTAAGGAAGAGGAGAGGCCGGGCTGAGGGGAATTGTTGAGCAGCCCTCAGTGGTGTAGCCTTGGTAAAAACACTGTTGTTGACACAAAGGTGCCAGAGCTGGAGACTGACAGGCAGTTATGGTCCCTGCAGCAAGTTCTCCTGACAGAGACCTCAGTGGCGCACCTCCACAGCTGCGTGCTGACATACTGAGTAAGCAAAGTATCAAAGTATCCTCACTCACTCCTCCTCTCAGTTCCCCAGATGCATATCTGCACAGGGATTCTGTTTCATTGGTAAGACGTATTGTACAAGGCAATAAATAATTCCTCTCTGCTTTTTTTTTTTTTTTTTTTTGGTGTGGTACTGCACTGAGCTATCCCCACACATCCCAGCCCATTTTTTAAAAATACATATTTTAGGGTGGGGGATTTAGCTCAGTGGTTCTGCTGCCTGCCTCGAAAGCGCAAGGTCCTGAGTTTGATCTCCGGTACCAAAACATAAAAATAAAAATACCGATTTTATTTAGGGACAAGTTCTTGCTAAATTGCCCAGGATAGGTTCAAATTTGGGATTCTCCTGCCTCAGTATCCCAGAATGCTGGGATTACAGGTGTGTGCTGCCACCCCCGACTTTTATCTCTGCCTTTGATACTACCATGAGTTCTTTTATTTATAATAGAGAGAGATTTTTAAAATTTTAATACATGTAGATATTAATAAGAAAATATTAAAAAGCACTCTTCTTACTTCTATGAAAAAAATAAGAGTTCCATAACGAAATAATTATAAAATAACAATAGTGTGCACACACTGTGCGGCACAATCTTAAAAGAATGGCCAAAATGAGTTCTTAGTGAATAGAGTTCTGTTACAGAGCTGAACTTGTCACATGCATTCTCTATTTCTAGAAGGCTCTGTGAAGGCTGACTGGCCCCAGGACTGATTTAGAGGCCATTTGAGCTTAGGATAAGGAAGAGTAGTAGCCTTCCTTCCATATCAGAGATTCTCTGGTTTGGTCGAGTCTGCCGTCCTGATTCTCCCTTTGAAAGTCCTTCACAGAAGAGACCCAACTGGACTCTATTAGCCATGTCCATTCTGCATATATGTTTTTTAATACACACCAAGTTTAAAAAATTCTGGTAGGGGGTGTTCCTTTTAGGATGACTTGTGCTGCTCAACATTTATATATTGAAGTCCTAAGCCCCAGTACATCGGGATGTGACCTTATTTGGAAATTTCGTACATAATGAAAATGAGGTCATGTTGGAGTAGAGGGGCCCCCAATCCAATATAACCACTGTTCTTAAGGAAAGGGGAGCTTGGGACACAGAGGAAGACACATGCACAGGGAGAATGCTATATAAAGATAAAGACTAAGAGCTGCAAGCCAAGGAATGTCAAAGACAGCCAGCAACCCTCTGGAAGCCAGGAGAGAGGCCTGGGGCAGATCTTCCCCTCACAGCCTCCTGTTGACATCCTGATCTCAGACTCTCAGACTTGTAGCCTCCAGAACTGTGAGAAAATAACCTTTTGTTGTTTAAGCTGCCCAGTATGTGCTATTTTGTTATGTTGGCCCCAGAAACTAATATAAGGAGCATCAATGCAAAATGGATAGGTTTGCCACATAAACCTGTATTTTGGGCTTTGGTGGGAAAAGCCTGCAGCTTGGGCTGGATGGAGGGACATCAGCTGGAGTGCAAGCTGTGTGCCCAGGGAGGCTGCAGAACAGGGGCTGCCTCCACAGCTAACTAAGGCTGTGGGAGGACAGGGGCCCAGCATTACTAGATTTCCCAGCTTTTCCTGGGAAGCTTGATTTTTGTTTCTTGTTGCTGGAGAAATATGATTTCAAATGCTGGCAGCTAATTTACCAGCCTTTCTTTTCTCCCTGACCCAGTCTACTTCATACACACATTTCATCTGGCTGGCTCCCCTGAGCGTCTGAGTTTGTGATCTGTGTTTATTCACAGTTGCATGGCTTACAAGCAGATAGGAAAAATTACATTTAAACAAGGGAGATTATTCAGGGGTTTGAATAATTTGCCACCAAGAAAAAGTGAGCTTTGATCTGTCCATCTTTCCTTTGCCATTTTAGGGTGATAACCTTTGTGAGACTCTGTGCTTTGAAAAACCATATGTTGAGGGCCTTACACAAACCAACAATGTACTAAAATAAGAATTGCATATGCTGTATTGCTCCTAGTATTCTTACTACTCATTTGGTGGGGGAAAAGAAATTCTTATTAACCAGGCATTATATAATAAAATTGAAGATATTAAGTAGTAATTTTTCTGACCTTGTAAATAGAAATAAAATTCCATCCAAGATACACTGCAGAACACCCCTCTGTGATTGTTGAAATAAATTCATACAGAATTGCTCATAGTAATAGCTACCCTATATATAAAACAGACTATATGGCGAGTATGGTTCTAGATTCATAAGTGGCATTACTTTATTTCATTGTAATTATGTTAGGCAATTAAAAGAAGCCAGACACTCTTTACAGACAGTCTCATTTAACAGTTATGTCAACCCTATTAGGGACATGGTCAGCCCTCTGTATCCGGGGCTCCACATCTGTCAGTTCAACCAACAGATAAAAAACATTCAGAAAAAAATTGCATCAGTACAGAATATATACAGACTTTTTCTTGATAACTTTCCCTAATAAATGGAGAATAACTGTTTACATGGAATTTACATCACATTAGGTGTTATAAAATATCTAAAAATGATTTAAGATACATGGAAGGATTGTGTAAGCTATCTGCAAATACTACCTCCATTTTATATAAAGAATTTGAGCATCCACAGAGTACAGTCTCCTCAGAGAGTCCTGGAACCAGTCCTGTATGGACACCAGATCAGGAAATTGATGGCCAGACAAATTCAGAAACTGGCTCAAGGTCACAACATTAGTGGGAAGGGAGCAGGACCCAAGGTCAGCTCGATGACCTTTCCTATCAAAGCAGCCTCCATTTGGCCACACGGCTTCTCTGCTCCTGTCCTCTATAGCCTCTGCGTCCACCAGCAGTAGTGTCATAAGTTCAGACTTCCAAATCCCAGTCTTATCTGCAGTGTTGATCAGCCAACCCAGCCCACTAGTGATGCGCAAATTGCCATCTAGTTTGAATTCACAGTCTTAGTTCCACTCAAAAAACACACAGTGACATTTTGTATAAATTGTCAGAGTGTCCAGAGGGTCCATGCATGCCCTTTTCATAATAGATGGCATGTTCACTGTGCTCTTAAAGTCTTCCAATTCAAAGAAGTCTTGGGAAAGGGTGGCTTCTGGGGCACTGTTCTGTTTCTTTGCAGCCGTGCGTTCATCCTGTGAAAATACAAGCACTTTGCAGATGACACATCTCCATTTCTATATGTAAACTTTACTACCATCAGAAATAAGAGAAATAAAAACAATGGTCCTCACTACCTCATCTAGCTTTAACAATGGACTGTGAAGCCTGTGTGCTGTCTCCCAGCAGCAGCATTTATCCACACATGCCGGACTGCTTTCCTCTGTAACCCACCCACTTCGCCTCCACCACTCCTACTGAATTATGTTGAAATGAGTCCCAGAACTGTGCTCTTTCATCTGCAGCCACCCAGCCTGACTTAGCCTGTGTTCTCCCTCTGATTTCCAGGGCACTACATGTATGTGGACTCGGTTTATGTCAAGCACTTCCAGGAGGTGGCGCAGCTCATCTCCCCGATGACCACGGTCCCCATGTCTGGCTGCCTGTTCTTCTATTACCAGCTCCAGCAGGGCAATGACAACGTCTTCTCCCTCTACACTCGGGATGGGACGGGCCTGTATGAGGAGATATGGAAAGTGGACAATCCGGGAAACGCAGCCTGGAACCTTGTGGAGGTGGAGTTCAGTGCTCCTTACCCCATGGAGGTAGGTGTGCCAGGGAGCCAGGTGTGCCCTGGCGTGGACACGTGGCAGCAGTGCCACCTCATATAGGCATGGAGGTCACACACTCTCCAGCCTTTCATTCCTAATGCACCTTGATGGTTGTTTTTTTGTTAAGTGGGCACACATTGAATTTATTTTTAAAGTTTCATTTAATTTTTAATTGACAAAATTAATTGTACACATTTTTTGCGTAGTGTGATGTTTTGACACATGTATACAATGGGAAACAATCAAATCTGAGTAATTAGCACATCCATCAACTCATTTATCATATCCTTGTAGTAAGAACACTCAAAATCCTCTCTTCTAATAATTTGTAATATGCAATATATTATTACTAGCTATACTCAGCCTATTGTGCATTAGACATCAAAATTTATCCCTCCCATCTAACCATAACTTTGTACCCAATGACCATTATCTCCTTTTTCCCCTTGAGTTCCTGTTTGTAACTCTATTTTAATCTTTCTTTTCCTTTCTCCACCTTTCTCCTCTCTTGTATGTGCCCTTCTATCTTCTTTTTTTATTACTTTCATGGTCTAGTGAGCACATTTTTATAAGGATAAATATGGGAAAAGCCAGTCAACTAACTAGATCTCCTGGAAAATGCTCTCTCTGGTCCTTGTACTGTGCCCATCGAGAGTTCAAAAGATGAGGCCAGGCTCCCCGGTGCAACTCATTCCTGGACTTCCATTCTTGACAACAGCTTTGAGGTCTTTTTTTAATTGAGGGATTTGTCTTGCCAGAAAAAAAGTGATTTCTTTCTTTGCAGCATAATGTCTCAAAAATCAGAAATGAACTTATTATTAAAGCCCTAATTTGAAACCAGCTTTGGTGCTTTTATTTTAAAGGTATTTTTACAGTTATATAAGTGGTAAATGTCCAGTGCAGGGAATTAGAAAATTTGGAGAAGCAAAGTAAGTTGAAACACCCTAAGCCCATCTACAAAGATGAAAACTACAAGCATCTTGGTATTTATCCTGACAGACCTTTTTCCAAGCATGCATATTAACACATATCTACATCTATGTGTGTATTTGAGAACTTCAGATCACTTTTATTACTATCTAACAAAGTAGATAAAATTATTCCCATATTTGCAGATGAAAAAGGAGAAAACAGTGTCCAAGAAATTTAACATCTTTTTTCTAGGTCACACAGCTAGGAAACTTGAGACTGAGATCTGACCTACAGCTCAAAGAGGGGGCCCTGTCCAAGGAGCCCGAGGACCTCGAGGACCTGGGTGTAGCCTTGTGGTTGCTATATATGTGCGATTGCTGAAAGGGCTTGGAGCTATAAATAGGGTCTTAGTTACAAGTTACTGATACCCCTCACTCTTTAATTTGTGCTTTTCGCAATATCTCCCCCAGTTCCCTTTAAAGTGTAGAAGTGCTTATTCCTCTGGCTGCTTTTCAGTGGTGCCATCTGCTAGCCTGCTGTAGAGCTGCAGAGGATGCTGGGGCGGGTCCTGGTTTCTGACGTGTCCCATCCATTGATGGCGTGCCTGCCTCTTCCCCACCTCCTTCCTCCCTCTTACACCCCACCCTCGAAAGGTCCCAGAGAGAGCACAGTGCCATTTGCAGAATGTGTGCTATTTCCTATCCCCAAGTCTGACCAAGCCTCAATTTGCTCTTGCATTCCAATGGAAATTTTTCTGTGAGTTTGGGTTACAAGGAAAAAAAAGAAATGCATGTACTGCTTCAGAATATGTTCCTTCTATTAATAATGAAACAAGTCCCCGACACACCCACACACACATACAAATAAATTGTCTTTACCAACTCCTCTCATGCAACCATATAAAATACTTACACTTTGTATGAGTGAAATGTCGCTGAGGGTAAGGCTGGATGATCACAGTTTTAAGCCCAGACTGGGCAATTTAGGAACTTAGTGACACTGTCTGGATTGTTTTTTAAAGTTCTGAAAGGTTGTAGCTCAGTGCAAAGGTCTTTGGTTTAAACCCCAGTATGACAAACACCACAATAGTAATAAATCAATCCATTGCATTTGAAAAGTTACAATGCTAGACACTATTAAACCCCAACAGGCATCTCTGGGTCCATATGTATGTGATTTTACTCCAGTGGTCTGAACCTATTTGCTGGTATTATTTGCTCTTGTAATTGCCAAAAATGGGAACTTGTCCTGTGAAAATCAGTAAACTTATTTTCACCATGTTCTCAAAGGAATTTTAAAAAGGAAAACAAATGCTGGAGACTATCTTTCTGAACGAGAGAGAATGGCGTGTGGGCTGTGTATAGCATGTTCTCATCAGAACTGTCATTCTTAATCTACCTGCTCAGTAGGAACTAGGTTCTGTCATTCACTTCCTTTACCAGCCAGAGTCTTGAGAGCTCAGTGTCATGGATTTATGTCAAGTTTGTGAATGTAATTGGCTGCTTCTCATATGTCCGTGTCTGTTCCTTCATTTGTAACCCTTGCTGTTTGTGAGAGACAAACCTCTGGGCTCCCCTTGCATTTTGGAGAGCCTGGCTCCAGGAGAAACATTGTGATTAAGCTGAAAGGGACCCTAAGAACCATCTAATCCCATCTTTTTTTCAAAAATGAAGCTGAGGCTTGGAAAAGAGACAAGGCCTACTCAAGCTAATTAGTGGTGCAATTGGCACAAACTTGAACAAGAGTTCAAGAGAGAGCCTGAAGGAAAAGATGTAAAATTAGTTCAGAGCTTATTCTGTACCTGACTCTGTGCTGGAGTCTTTATATACATTATCTCATTTTATTTCCCCAACAACCCCGCAAAGTAGGTGCTATTATAATAAATAAAAACAGCAAGACTTCAAGAGATTTAGCAGTGGATCAGAGGTTGCCTAGCTAGGAGGTGATGAAAATGGAATTTGGGCTCTGGTCGCTCTGTCTCTGAGACACTGTTGTCTTCAGAAGAGGTTGCAAACTAAGCCTATGGGTCAAATCTAGTGGATGGTTATTTGTCTGGTTCCTGTAATGGTTTGTTTTTTGTTTGTGTTTTGCTTGTTTTAATTTTTGAACTACCTGCCAGCATTGAAAAATCCAAATATATCAAGTAAAATCAAGAGATTTGGATCCTCTGGATAACTTGCTAGATGCAAACATGTTAGGCCTTCTGTTTGTTTGCTGGAGCTATCATAACAAAGTAGCACAGAGTGGGTGACTTTAAAAAATAGAAATTTAGTGTCTCACATTTTGGGAGGCCCAAAGTCCATGATCAAGTGAAGGATTTGTTCCTTCAACAGCTGTGAGGGAGAATTTGTTCCAGGACAGTCTGTCACTTCTAGCAGTTTGCTGACAGTATCTGGTCCTGATAGGATTAGAGATTTCTACCTTTGTCTTCATGTGTGCCTCTTTGTGTATCTATCTCTCCACCTAAAGTTTTCCCTTTTTTATAAGAGTGCCAATCATTTGGATTAGAAACCCACCCTTTTGCCTATAACCTCACCTTAACCAATTACATTAGCAGTCACTTTATTCCCAAATAAAGTAACGTACCAAGGTACTGAGGGTTGGGATTTCAATATGAATTTGAGGGGACACAATTCAGCCCATAGCCCGCCTGACTTCCCAACATCAGCAACTGATGGAGCTGAGTAGTTGCTGCCCTCTTTGGATAGACTTGCCTTCTCCATTTCTCAAAAGTGCATATAGCAGCCCTTCTTCATGCATTTATACTACCTGCCTGGCCCTTACAAGCGCTTAAGTTTCATACCCTGCTCCACGCTGTGTTCTCATGCTCTCATCCCACACAACGTGGACTCCACACCTGGGTGGTTTTCTCTACATGGGTGAAGGCTATGCTCACCACACCTGATCCCCCGTGGTCACAGGCAGAAAGACAACTGAATTTAGACTTAGTCAGTGGCGAGTGAGACAGCAAAACGAAAGGGGTTGAACTCATTAACCCATGTTCTCTCTATCTGTTGGAACGTGCCTGGACATGCCAAGATCAAGGCACTCATCTCTAACCACTGCATCTGTGCCTCCAGTAGAGCTCCACATGGGAAGAAAGGATAGAGACTCAGATGGCTTAGCTCCCTGTGGACGTGGACGGCAGGGGGAGAAAATGGCCTGTTTTCTCCACTCAGCCTGGTTTTCCTTGAATCTAACTTCATAATGCTAATGAATTCTAGAGTTGTATCAAAACAATATGGGCACTGCAGCTGATCCTCAAGGAAGAGGGAAATATCTACCAGTAAATGCAAATTTAGGAAGTCTGAGTCCATGGGGGCTGTGGTAACAAAATGGCATAGACTGCATAGCTTATAAACAGCAGAAATTTACTTCTTATAGGTCTGGACCATGGGAAGTCCAAGACAAGGGTGCTGGTAGATGTAGTGTCTGATTGATGCCTTCTCACTGTGTCTTTATATGACGAAAAGGGCAAACAGGCTCCCCTGTTAGAGACACTAGTCCTATGTATGAAGGGTCTGCCATCAGGACCTCATCATCTCCCCAAAGTCCACTTCCTAATACCATTACACTGGGAATGAGACCTCAACATATAACTTGTCAGGGGACAAGGCATTCAGATTATAGTAGTTTCATTCTCCTACAAAAGGTTATGAGTTGGGTAGAGTGCTTCCCAAACACTTATATTTGGGAACATAATTACATGTCCTTGTGACTTGGACTCAACTGGTTTGATTGGCATGTCACTGTAAAATATGGTTAACAACACTTAAGCCTAACAGAAATATGTAAACATGGGGCAACGTGTCACTTTCCTCCTAGGTTATTTTTGAAGTTGCTTTCAATGGTCCCAAAGGAGGATATGTTGCCCTGGATGATATTTCTTTCTCTCCTGTTCACTGCCAAAATCAGACAGGTAAGCATTCTCTTTTTTTCCTCTTTCCATTTGGAATTTTTCTTTCTTAATAGATACCTGGTGTCAGGACTTGCTTTAAATTGTCTTTGATTTCCTCAGCTTTTCTCTTATCCTTAAAAAATTAATGACCTGAATTCTTGCTTTCTTGGACTATTACCCACTTTTGTCCCCCATAGAGTGAGTCTAATTGTTCTAAAACCATGGGTTACATTTTCCCTACCTTCTACTAAAGGAAATTTAAATAATATTAACTTACTGTAACTCATCTTTGTTTTTAAAGGGTATCTTGATGGGTGGCAGGATAGATGGGGAAAAATGCTTACAATCTACTGAAGATAATTATAATAACTCTTTCCAACTTTATCCAAGATTTATAAATGCCCCTATGTTTAAATATATTAGTATTTGTTAGACATCTCTACAATGGTTTTGCTTAGGTATTACATACACTTAATTTATTTACTTTTTTTTTCCAAAGTGATCCCTCAAATAATTTTATTCTGACATTTTTACTTTCTGGGAAAATAGATAAACAAATTGACTCTAAGTGAATTAGGAAATAAATGGTTTAGAGTAAGAAGGATGACAATATAATAATAATAATGATGGTAACACATTACATTACATTACATTACATGTAAATGTAATTGACCTTACCAGTTAGTGAATTTGTTTCCTTGAGGGGCCCAGGGAGACACTGTGGTCATCACATATTAGTGAGCCCTCATCGTGGCCTTTGGAGCACAGGAAATACATTTTTTGAACTTGACCTTTGTGGTCTGACTTTCACTTATGGTAGAGTCGAACTCTAATTTCATAAGGTTTCAGATATATGTATTCTATTAGGAAGATTCTAAGAAAGATAATATTTGTACTGGAGCTAAACTATTACCCCAGAATCGGAAAGAAACTTAATTTGCTGAAACTAAATATTATTTTTTACTAATTGTATTTTTAAAAAGAGTAGTGAAACAGAATCAACTAGACCTACATATTTTTATCTTTTTGGTTTTTTTCCTGGTGCTGGAGGTCAAACCTAGAACCTTACACATACTAGGCAAGTTCTCTACCATTTAACTACATACCAAGCCCTGGATTTACATATTTTAAGTGATTTAAATCAAAGAACAATCAAAGATTAAGAGTCTCTAAATTTGACATAACAGAAACAAAAGTCTTCTACTCTAAAATGTGATCTTCCCCTAATTCCACCAATTAATATTTCAATTATATTAACAGTAATTCCACAACCTCTTTATCATTATTTTTAGAAAGTTCCTCTTTTCTATTACCCATTATTTTTAGAAAGCTCTTCTTTTCTGTTACCAGGCACATACACTGAGCTCTGTGAGCCAGATGCTGGGTCTCTGGAAGCATAGTCCTTTACTTTCATACTTTATCTTGTATTTCACAAATAGTTTATGTCTGTATGTCTCATAATAGGTGCCAATATTTTTCTTTATCTTGGTTAGTTCCTGACTTGTTGTATCTGCTTTCCCAGCCAGATCTAAAGTTTTTTTTCCCCATCTCCATATTAGGCAGAGATAGGAATTAGTTCAACATATGAACCATATGTTGTTACCATCTCATCAGGCTTACAGTTAATCCTGTGACTCCAATGGATCTCAGTTTCCCACACCTGAGATCCATTAGAGTCACAGGTTTAAAAACCAGTGTCCCATGGCTTCATCCAAGTAACCCCCTAGTTACTCATAGTCTGGTTTCTCTTCAGATCGCATAAATCTTTCACCTTTTACCAAGCAACCCCCTAATATGCTTTCACAGGACAGTGAAACGACCCCACTTTAAGTTATAGCTGTTCCTTTCCCAAGTCTTTTCCAACGACAAACTCCTCTCCATCGCCGTGTTTGGCCTGCAGTCTAGACTACAGGAGTAAGCTGTCCTTGTGGTCTGTAAATCCTTGCATATCTAATAGGCATTCCTGTCTACTTCTAGGAATCTTGCCATAATGCCCAACCCCAAACTGAAAGCCCCAACCTCCTCTCTGGGCTTGAGCCCACCCCACGCCCAGGCTGGGAGTATCCTGACATTCGTGGACACTCTTCTCAGAGGACAACTACATTGGCCATTCAACAACACGCTGGCAGACCTCTTGTTAGTTGTAAACTCTGCTCTAATTCAGCTGCCTGGGTTATACCTGAAGTTGCCAGTTTTCTTTATCTCAAATGCCCTCAGGGGTCTTCACAGCCCAGACAGTAGCCCAGAGATCCCCTTGTGTCATAACCCTTCCCCAAGCTAGCTTTGAACTGTGTCCACTGACATCAAACTACCCAGCAAGTTTAGCAGCCTTCAGAGCACCGTGCCCCCAGTGTCTGTCTTTTCTAGCACTGCAGGGACTGATGAGCCTTTTAGATCTGTAGGGCTGATGCTGAGTTTGTCTCCATGAACTCCATGGAGCAGAGGAAATGATGAGAAACACTCCTTATTATTCTTCTGAAACTGCAACACACTCCAGCTAATTAGATTATCTTCAAAGCCTCTCATTTCCAAGAAGTCCAAGTGTCAGAAAGTAAGTAATTAACTAAAACTTACATGGTGATGCTTTTAGGTAATTTGCTTTAAGTGGCTTTATTTCTTCTTCTTTTTTTTCCCCCTCACTTTTTTTCTCCCATGATTATCAACTGAGGCTCAAGGGCTTCCACCCACCTCTGATTCCTTCCTATTCCTTTGAATGTGTTATTAACACTCCCTAGCAGCTCCATCTGTGATCACCACTTGACCTGCACTTCTGAAACAAGCTTGAACCAAAGGCTTTGTCTCCACGCTGATCCCTGGACAACTCCCTCTGTGGGGTCACCACCAGGGCCCCTGGCCCCATCCTCAGCAGTCAGATACTGTCCCAGGGTAAAAATGGTATTCTAGGTGGAACAGATTTAGTCTTTGAGTCACACTTTTGAGATTTCCTTTTTATCAGACCACAGACAAATTCACCTCTAAGAGTATGTATTCAGCAAAAGAATATAATCACATCATCAGGAAAATTTTTTTCTATATGATCCAGTGCATCACCATGGAGAAAAGTGATCCTTTCTTACTTTTAAGTTTTGTTTTGCTTTGTTTTTTAATAGAGTTTATTTTTTAGTGAACTCGTAGGATTGCAGCAAAATTAAGCAGAAGGTAGAGATCTCTCATATGTCCTTCCCTGCATACACATCGCTGTGTATGTTAAGATCCACTCTAGGTGTTGTGCATTCTAGTTTGAACAAATGTATAAGGACATGTATCCATATTATAGTGTCATATAGAATATCCCTAGCTGCCCCTGGTAACCACTGATCTTTTTATTCTTTCTATAATTTTGCCTTTCTCAGAATGCCATGTAATGGATTCATATAGTATTTAGCCTTTTTGTATTGGCTTTCTTCAATTAGTAATATCCATTTAAGTTTTCTCCGTGTATTTTCTTGACTCAAAAGCTAACTTCTTTTTAGCACTGAATGATATTCCATTTTCTTGATGTAGAAATTCATGTGTCCATTCACCTACTGGCTTCTCCCACATTATGGTGGCTCTATATAAAACTGCTGAGCCAGGCATGGTGGTGAAGTAGGGAGGCTAAGGCAGGAGAATTGCAAGTTCAAGGCCAGCCTGGCAACTTGGCAAGACCCTGTCTCAAAATAAAAAATAAGAGTGGCTGAGGGTATAAGTCAGTGGTACCAGATTGTCTAGCAAGTATAAGGCCCTGGGTTCAATCTCCAGTGCTCAAAAGAATAGTAATAATCAATAAGTAAAACTACTATTAACTTCCAAGTTTTAGCACTACCTCCTTCCCTTTCCCACGTAATAAATAAGATTCTCTTGCAGGCACCCAAGACTGCTGCTTTGAGATTCCTTTCTGATGAGTAATTTCGCTGGCTTGCCATTCTCTTTGGACGTGGTGTTTGCAATTACCACACCATTTCCAGAACTAGATAGTCATCTGTTGATTTCCATTGGATTTCCGTCTGTTTTTTCTCTACCAGGTAGCAGAGGGTTGACTAATATTGAAGACCATCATAGGATAGTTTCAAATCTCCACTGGAGAAATTTGAAGGATCCCTGTTGGTAGACATCATACTCATTTTTCACAGACTTTGTCTTCGGGGTATACAATACACCCTGGTGCTGACAGAATCAAGCAGAGGAGAGTATGAGTTAGTCCACGATGGCAGAGCACTGAGAGTTATATTAATTTCTTTTTCTCCTATCTGGCTCTCAGAGTTTGTTCCTAGGGCATAAGACCTGAGATACTATCAGATTTGGGTTATACAGGGAATTTTTCTTTTTATTCTTTTTCTGTGAGGTGTTATTAGTTACTCTTTTGAGTTATTTTGTTTTTCAGAAACTATTTTTGTTTCATTTCAAACTCAGACAAAATTTGTGGGAATACTGTAGAGAACTCCCATGTATGTTTCAGCCAGAAATACAAATTATTAACATTTTGCCATGTTTGTTTTATCAGTCATTTAAGAGTAGGTTACAATAATTTCCAACGATGAATGTCATTATATTGTATACCTAAAATGTACCAATGATTAGAATGAATAATCGATAATGTAAAATAGGAAGAAAAGGTCCAAAGGGGTAGGGGCAGTGGGAGGGGCAGGGGAAAGGAAAGAAGGGAAAGGAGAAATGATGAGAAATGGAAAAAATGGAAATAAAGTCTTTGTAAATAGGGAAGGGTGGAGAGTGTGAAGGGAGGGCTAGGAATGGGGAAAAAATAAGAACCAAGATGCATTATATAAAGGTACAATTCCCAATGAGAAATGTAATTGTGTTGTATACCTACAATGTACCAATAAAAGAATTTAATACAAAAAAAAGAGTAGGTTGCAAACATTTTACCTTTTTACCCCTTAATATTTCATTGTGTATTTTCTAAAGCCAAACACTCTCCAGTGTAACTATAAGACAACTATAAAGTTCAGGAAATGTTATACTAATCATCAACTAACTTAAAGTCCATGAACCAGTTTTTCCAGCTGCACGGACGATGCCCTTTACAACTCTGCGCTCCTCTGGACAAGCTGGGCTCTTGGATCCTTTGTGGGATTTGGTTGCCATGCTTCTTTCCAACCCTTGAATCTGGGTCAATTCTTCCATCCACTTAAATGTTTTCTTTCTTTGAAAATTGACAAATTGAGAACATAGTGAGTCTTTGTCCTAAACAGCTCTCTGTGTCACCAGCTCACTTGGGCTCTCAGAACCCAAAACTTTCTCTAGAGGTGATTTTCCATTTGTATAAAACAGTATCCTTTCTTCCTGACCCTAGAACAGGCTAACATATCTGTCGGCCTACAGACCAGAAGCACACGCCACTGCATTGACTATGTCCCAAACTGTCACCATCACATCCACTCTGAACCCTGAGGGCAGTCGAAACACTGAGGCTTACCAGTCATTTGTCAATACTGCAGAAAACTCTTATGTTCCATTGCATCCTGATAATCTCAGAGGAGGCGACGTTCATAGGCTGGGGTAAACCATACCAGCACTCAGCAAAGCCAAAAACCAAGCAACCTCCAGAATAGATCAGGTGTGGCTTCTGAACTGCATGGTTTATGCTGAGTGCTGATTTTCTTTAAGCAGATCAGCTCCTAAACTATGCTTCTGACCCAGAGATTGATCAACAAAGGACAATTATTTCTGGAAAATAATGTTTCCAAAATATATGTCTTAGAGAGATACCAAGTCCCCTAAAATCCTTTCCTTTTCTCTTACTTTCATTTAAATTTTCTATGAGTGAATTTTGAATCATGAAGAAGTATGTGAGTGAATGCTCGTAGTCTCTACATCCTGAAAGGAAATTTCTTTTGGTGCCTGGTGCTAACATATTTATATAGAGAATGTGAACAGGGCTCCTTCTCCCCTCCCTATAGAGAGGAAAAGAACAATTTTCTTGTCATGTTGAAATACTGGTGTGCTGCTAACCTGTCAACCTGCCATTCTTGGAAAAATATTTTGCAGTGACTCACTTCCTCCGTCCCCCCTGGCACAAGTATAACAATATCTGTAGTCAGTTCAGGTAGCCCTCTTAGCCCTTTGAGACCTTTAGGTTTGACCATAACTTTGGTCTTCATTTTCTCAGAGCTTCCTTTCAGTGCCATGGAAGCAAGCTGCAATTTTGAGGAAGACTTCTGTAACTTTTACCAAGATAAAGATGGTCCTGGCTGGACCCGAGTGAAAGTAAAACCAAACATGTATCGGACTGGAGACCACACTACAGGCTTAGGTAAGTCAAAAGTCTGTCCATGTGAGACATTTTGGGGTGGTATTCATGCATCAGTGGATCACTGGCTATTCTTACAGACACTGACTTCAAAAAAAAAAAAAAGGCAGCTGCAGAGAAACAAAGATAATCAGTAATCTTATGTCTGACCTTGTTTAAAAACTCTAGTTCAAAGTGGTGTGCTAAGAAAAGTGTTTGCCAGTTAATTAAATAGACAAACCTTTGGAAATGATTTTACTCTTCATTTTAGATGAAATACTTTTGAAAAACCATTACTTTCCATTTATATGAAACCTCCAGAACAGACAAATCTGTAGAGATAGAAAGCAGATTCATTGTTGTCAAGGACTGGAATGGAGGAAGACTATCTAATGGGTACAGGGTTTCCTTCTAAACTGATAAAAATGTTCTGAAACTAGATAATGGTGATGGTTGTACAGCATTATGAATGTTCTAAATAACACTGTAGTGTACATTTTTAAATGGTTAAATTGGTAAATTTTACATAACGTATTTTACTGGAACAAGAACTATAATGTGGGGACTATTGAGAAATATTGAGTGGATACTTAATGGGTGTATCTACAAGGAGCGCTTAGAATTCAGAGTTTGAGCCATGTGTACATATGGATGCCAATTACTTTAATGACATCCTTTGTGGATCTCATCACAGGGGAGACTAATAGGAAGAGCTTGTCTCAAGGGGTTTAGTGTCTTATTCATTTGTTTATCAAGTTTTTATATTCTGAGCACTGGAATGAATTTACCCAGAAGCTGAGAAAGCTTAAATTCCAGGGACCCTCACTTGGAAAGGACCCAAGAAAGGCCTTGGAAGGAATCCTTGCAATCTTAGTACCTGTAATTTTATGCTCTTTTCTTAGAGATTGCTTAAATTGAAGAAATACGGGCCCTTCAAAACCTACTCCAGCCTGTCCAGACTCACGCCTGGAGGATACAGTAGTGAACAAGTCAGATACAAACCACATCCTCACTGACTGACAGTAAATTCCATGGGCAAGAGAAGCATCAGGCAAATGTATACACAGATGAACTGATACAGTGTGATTAAAAAAAACAAACAGTGAATTTCTAAATTAAAAATTATTACAGTCAAAGACACATTGCCATTAACCCTTCTCAAAATACTCCCCTTTATATACTTATCTATGATTCTAACCATTTCCTGAAGCAGTTGTAGAAGTCCTCTTTCATGAGGGTCTTTAGTTGCACTGTCATTGGTGCCCAGATATCCTGAATTAATCAAGACATTTATAGAAGTTTCTGTGAAGGTAGTGTGTGTCCTCACCCACCTTCTTTACTGGATCTGGCACCATACTACTCTTGGCTCATCCCCAAAGCAGAAAGGCCCATGCAAGGTAAACATTTCAAAAAGTGGCAAAAACGATGCGATAAGTGTGTTCAAAGCGAGGGAAAGTATTTTGAGGGTGACTCATGGCTATGTGTCTTTTACTATAATAAAAATTTTTTTAGAAAAAAAGTAACATTCATAGTTTTTTATTGTACCTGGAAATTAGAAGTTGTGGCAAGTGCTGTCAGGGAGGAAAACTTTTCCTCTACCCTCTTAGTTTCTGTGACTGAAGCAAAAAATGAAACTAACATAAAACAGATTAATGGGAGAAAACACACATATTTTATTTAATATTTTTACTTGCACATGAGAGCCCTCATTAAAAAAAAAGTGAAAACCTAGAGAAGTATAGAGGCCTGAGAACTTATATGTCATCTTCAACAAAGAATGATATAGTAGTGGAGAAGTGAAAGGAAAGGAAAAGCATTTAAGCTTCAAGGAGTAGTAAACTATGGAAAAGTAACCCAGGAATACATGGAGGAAACTAATGAATGGTAAGGGTTACGTTTGTAGGTTGGTTTGTACAGATCTGCCCTGGCATCAGTTCCCACTCACTAGCAATACAAACATTTTCCCTTCCTGGAACAGGGAGGGCACCTTGACCATGACAAGTTTGATGACCTGCTTTTAGGTAGAAAGTGGAAGGCCACAGTTCTTTCTGCCTCTGTCTTTTCTCAAATGGCACCAGTACAAAGTAATTAACATGCCAAAGCAGCATATTTTGGGATGACATGTTTTGATCCCTTCAGTCCCATGGAAGAAACACAGAGTAAACTGAGAATAGAGAAAGAAGAACCAGATTTGGGCCAGGGATCTAGAGGTTTCTCTGAGGGAAGCTGCAGTTATCTGATAGAGTGTGAGTGATCCAGGCAGAGGATGAGTGAAAGGAGATTGCCCAGGCTTATTGTGTTCTGGGAGAAGGAAAAATCAAAATCAAACTGAGCTTGTGTCCTGAAGCTGCAGTTTTCATTTTTAAAATTATGGTTTTCCTTGTTTCCTTTTTACCTATGTTTATTTCTTCTAATTCAACTAGAATCTGGGTGGATCTAGTAGGCAATTTAAGGATTTCAGGATTTTTTATTTGCAATAGAGGCGCACAGATTTGTTTTATGACTTCAACCACAGACATTACACAATGTCTTCTATTGTTTAAAGTCACTGCTGGCAAGTCCCACTACTTTAGCCAAACTGGCAGCTTCCTAATCTGGTGTTACTGGGTTTTACACTGCTGAAGTCTCCTTCTAGAGGTGATTTCTAGGTTCTTTCTGTCCTGAGCAAAGAATTGGTCAAGACAAATGCAAACAGTGACAAGGTTTTACATTTAATAAAGAAGGAAAATAAACATACACTCCAGAGTGAGTTTGGGCCAAGTAAAAGTAGGAAAAGAAGTACACTCTCCAGCATGAAAGTGGACTACAGTGGAAGAACACAGTAGCAGAGAGCTCAATGGCAACTGTCCTTTGTGCATCTTCCACTCTTCAGACTGACATCAGGCCTAGACCGTCCTATCCAAAACTGCTCGAGTTCTCGTGAGAGGTCCACACGCAGGACTTTGGGAGCTATTTGCACTGTGTTCTGGAACTTTGCAATTACAGGTGACACTTCCTCAGCCAGTCTTCCATGCCCTAATCTCTTGCCTTACTGGGATAGATTATTTTGAATTGCTGTTGCACTAAATGTTTTGTCTTATTTGCAGGGTATTACTTGCTGGCCAACACAAAGCTTACATCTCAACCTGGCTACATTGGAAGGCTCTATGGTCCCTCCCTACCAGGAAACTTGCAGTATTGCCTGCGTTTTCATTATGCCATCTATGGGTTTTTGAAAATGAGTGACACTCTAGCAGTTTATATCTTTGAAGAAAACCATGTTGTTCAAGAGAAGATCTGGTCCGTGCTAGAGTCCCCTAGGGGTGTGTGGATGCAAGCTGAAATCACCTTTAAGAAGCCCATGCCTACCAAGGTACAGTAGACCCCATATATTTTTCATCCCTTTTCACTTGCAGGACTGAATTAGCTACTGTCAGCCGAGATGGGTTATATTCCTGCTTTTCAAATTGATGGCTCTGAGGTAAGATGGAAGTATTAAAAGCTAGGCAGAAAGGAGAGAGGGAAAATTGTAATTTTAAAAATGAAAATTGCAGCTTCAGCTCACAAACCCAGTGTGTGTGTCTGTGTGTGTGTGTGTGTGTGTGTGTGTGTCTGTATGTTCTCTTCTCCCAGAATAGTGACCCTGGGCATTTTCCTTTCACCTGTAAATGGGTTCAGCCTTCTCTTTTTACCTCTTTCACCTATGAATAGACCATCTTTTCGCCTGTAAATTAGGCCACCACCTAAAACATAAAGGCAGTCTTACTGTGGGAGGGCCATCCTTCTCCACCCACCAAACCAAGACCACAGATTTCCAGCATAGACCACCTTTCACCTGTGTATTATGCTACCAACCAAAACAGATAGATTACCTCACTATGGGTGGGCCATCCTTCCCCACCAAGAGCAAGACTATATATTATCAAATTCCACACATTCCCACTATCAAAAATATATAAATATTCCCAGTTCCAAACTGTAATGTGTGTCATTTCTCTGACTGCCCACACTCCACTCTTGAGTGTGTCCTAATCTCTGCCTAATAAAACCTTACCTTGCCTCTAACTGACAGGTCTGGAAAATTCTTTTTCCATGACAAGCATCAGCAGACCTGCAAACTTATTCTACGAAAGGGTGGGTAAATTTCTTATTTCAGCTTTCGGAAGCTCTCAGACCTAGCCCAGTAACAGGTCCATTTCCACATTCTACCCTAGTCATTGTACAAGTCATTTCTTTAGTTCTTTACCATTTTCTGTATCTCTGAATCATGGCCACCTAGGGGATTTGATTATTTTCTCTTAAGATTCCCTGATAATGGTCCTAGACTGGAGTATACAAAACTTTTCTTTCTCTTTCTTTTTCTCTCACTCTCCCCCTTACATACACGTACACATATACACATGCACCCATGCACACACACACTAGTGAGAATGCTAGAATTCAAAAGGATGAAATCATTGAGCTTGGTTCTGCAATAACCCTTCAAGGTCAACAGCCTAAGGCTCTAGCTGAACATAGGATGAGGATAGAGTGCTCACTAAAATATGGTGCTGGGCAGGGGATTTAGCTCAGTGGTTTCACTGCCTGCTGTGCAAGCACAAGGACCCGAGTTCAATCCTAGGTACCAAAAAAAAATATGGTGCTAACCCTGCTCCACAGACAACTTACTTAAGGGAACCATCAGCAGCTGATTTTTTGTTTGTTTTTTGGTACCGGGGATAGAACTCGGGTCCTTGCGCTTGCGCAGCAGGCGGCGAAACCACTGAGCTAAATCCCTGGCCCCATCAGCAGCTGATTTTGATAGCAACAAGAATACAAAAGCAGACCTTACTGCAAGAGGAATTCAAAAGAAAGCAGTAATCTCCTAGGCTTAACAACTCATAAATTTAAGGAAGCTTTACAGATACAATAATTTTGTCAACTACAACCCAGATATGAAACTAGTATAGGAAAATCCACTTTGTTTCAGTCTGTCAATCAGTAAATATTTCTTGAGTATTCTCTTTGTGCTAGAAAGGGGCCCAAAGAAAGATATGAAAGGAACTTTCTAGATAACTAACACAATGGGAGCTCAATATTGTTGAATGAATAGATGAATCATTGATCACACCGTTGTCTAGTAATTATCCAAATTCCAGATTCCTCAGGAAAAGCTCCAAAGTTGGGCTTACACTTCTCTTAGTTACAACCATCTGGACAGAATTCTGGACAGAATCATAAATGTGTCCACTTAGAACTTCCTGCTAAAGGAATTTTATACACTAGTGCCATTATAATGTTGCTTTGTTACTTATAGCCCATTGAGATCTCTACCATGATTAAATCTGTATAATGATTAGTCAAAGATCTCTGAAAAAACTCGCCAAAGTTCTCTGTCACTAGGTAGAATGATGTGGCAGGCTTCCTGACTTACTTGTTTTTAAAGGAGTAGAACCAATTTATAGTATCAAAATAGAAGCATACAAGTCTTACTACAGTCTCACAGGTATTGCTTGTTGTTATTTAATGCTAACTAAATAGGTAGTGTTGCTATAGGTATCCCCTGATTAATTCCATCACACTATGATCACCCCATTAAACTGAAGTAAATTTAAAAAAAACCCGAAAAAAAAACAACAAAAAAAAACTGAAGTAAATTGCTTCCCTACCTGGGCAGAATACAAAGCAAATTGGTGTTTCTGATGCCAACTTCCTACTCATAACCTAGACCCATGCTTTTTAAACTCACTGCCTAGGCAATTCCACATGTGTTCTAAAAGAGTCTTTCTATAAATGTGACCTGATATTTGCAGCATTGTTGAAGTGTCTTTTTGATCTATTAGTCCTAAAAAAAGCCCCCAGCCTCTCTGCATCTCCTAGAGGTCCAAAGGTGTAGCTATGACAATACACACATACACACAGGTTCTGGGGTGCTGGAGTCTCCTGTTACAGGTAATTTTCTGCGACAAAGAATTGAACAAAACAAGCATAAATGGTGGTAGTTTCACATTTATTAAAGGTGGGAAAAAACAGAAAGCTAGGGGAAGAACGGACTCAGCAGAGCGGATTTCAGCCAAGTAAAAAGGGAGGAAAAAATAAAAATAAAGATACACCTGACAGTGTAGGGTGGGCTAATGTGAAGAGACATGATAGCAAGTACTTAATGCCAACAGTCCCGTTTTCCCCACACTAGGGTCATGTCTAGGTCATTCTATCAAAAACTTGCTCAAGTTCTCATGAGAAGCACACATGCAGGGTTTTGGGAACCATTCTGTATATATCTTCTGAACTCTTGCCCCACTTCCTTTCCCAGCTAGTTTTAGCCACACTATTTTCCTGCTTCACTCACACTAGCAGATTCACACAATAAAGACATACCAGAAAGTAATGCAATTTTTGTTATGCTCCATGCTCTGTTTGGCTGATTTTTTTGGTTTGTTTTTTGTTTTTACGTTCCGGGGATCGAACTCAGGACCTTGTGCTTTCGGGGCAGGCACTTTTTGGCTGATTTTTAAAGGAGGATATACAGACAACTGAGACTCAGCTGAGCTGATGTATGGAAGGCTGAGGTTCAGCCCATGCTGAATCCTGCTCATCAGTCCACTCCTTTTGCTTATACCCTCTAGTGTTAAATACTTGGGTTGTTTGGGGATCTGCCCATCCTTTTATAGTGAGCCCCTGCTCTTACCTAACTCCAGTGGATTGGAGGAATCCTCCAAGCAGGTAAGAGTGCCTGGAGAATTTGTCCTTTTCCTCCTTGGTGGCTAACAATCAAGTTTCCCAGTTACTTCCCCAGCTACATAGAGAAAAATGAATCTAGACCAAGTGAGGGGAAGGATGTTCTTACAGACTAGGAAGGAACTAGTCGTGGATCCAGCCCCACTGAGAAATGGTATGGTTCAACACCAGAAATTCTAGACTCCATTTTGAGGTGAATAACACACCTGCTAGTTCTATGTACAATAGCCTTTGCTCTGGGACATGCCTCAGCCAGGCCTTGGACAGGCCCTGGGCATGCCTGTATGCTTCAGAGAGTTCCAGTAAGTTCTGACCACAAAAGTTCCAACCACAAGAAGTTCTAAATTGATGCCCTACGTCATTGGCTCAGCTGCCATTGGAGGAAGCCCAGGAAGGAAGTAGCTGTCCATAAAAGCAAGCCATGGGGTGAGGGGTGGGGGGCTTAAGACAGATGATACCCTTCCTGTTGTCTTGCATTCTGCTATACAATGTACTCAGTCATTAAACTTTTCCTTCTAAACTTCACTCTCAGCTTGGTAGATTATTTTACCATCCATGTCACAGGTCTACTCTGCTGCATCCCACAGCACAAACCTCTGGATATATGTCTGAAGGTAGCCTATACTGCTTGGCAAATCCCTATCAAACAGCACTTGCTCCTCAGAGAGCAAGAAAACTATTTGTCATCCATGTTAGAGCCATGAATTAAATAAGGGGGAAACTAAAGTTCATATATTATGTAATGCACAAAGGTGGAAATAAACATACAAAAAATTGTTTAAACTGGGGAAAAAAATGAAAATTTGGAGTTTCTGTTACTATTCCCTACCCCCAAATCCAACTCCAATTGTACTTTTTGTTTTTCTTCCCAATTTTTGGATGATTTCTTCTATAATTCTAAATACTACATTTCTTTGTGCATTAACCTTAACAGTATCTGCTGACTCATTACTTTGGATGATAAGGAATTGAGCTCACTTCCATTATTCTGTTTCTCTTTTTTTTTTTTGGTACCGGGGATCGAACTTGGGACCTTGTGCTTTCGAGGTAAGCACTGAAACCGCTGAGCTAAATCCCCAGCCCTATTCTGTACTTTTTCTCTCTTTTCCTCACAATGTTTAGTTTGTTATTTTTCTCTTGGTTCCATTTTAACTTTTTTTCAGTACTAGGGGTTGAATCAGCATGTGCTAGGTAAGCACTCTTACTCTATGTTATGCGAAGGTATAGTTCAGGTTCTTCTGTACAACAAGCAGAGAATTGCAAAGCATACACCAAAAGGCAAGTGAAAAGTAACTGTATTTATTGAAGATCATGGAAAATTGTGCTCTAGGCAAGTTCGTGCCAACAAAAGATATGGCATGTGCAGGAAAATTGTGTCGGGGTAACAGGAAAGCAAAAGCACTACACACAGATCACAGCACACAGCAGCAGCCCCCAGTAAATCAGCCTTTTGGAATTTAAAGGTAATGCACCTCAGCCCAGGGGGCTCCCCTAAATCTCTAGATGTGATTGACAGGAATGATCAACAGGGTGCTGTGCCACTTCAGGGGCTCTCAACACACATGGTCGATCCAGAATTCACTCTGATCTTAATTACACACATGACATGCAGTACATATTTATGAACCCTTAATGAGGTTTGAATAGGGTAAAGCTGACTAAAGGTCAGGCTAGGAGATCCAACAGATATATGCTTTCACCGAGAGCATCGGAGATCTCCTGGGTTTTTTTGTTGTTGTTGTTTTGATTTGTTTTGATTTGTTTTGTCTTGTTTGTTTTGAGACAGGGTCTCGCTATGTAGCCCAGGCTGGCCTCGAACTCACAGTGATCCTCCTGCTTTGACTTCCTGAGTGCTGGGATTACAGGCATGTGCCACCATGCCTGGCCCTTATAACTTTAATACATCTAAACATCTATTTTTTAAGCCATAAACTTTAAACAGAGTCTCTTGACACCCTGATATGTAAGATGGATCAGTTTTCACCCCTACATTTCCCTTCACTTCTCTTTCCCTTTCCATTTCTCAAATTCTTTTAGGTGTACAATTACTTTGACACTTTTATATCTTACAACATTTTACATTCCTACAATTAAGCTTTCTGTGCCTTGCCTTTGGCTGTATTTCCCAACCTGGGCCCTGCTGGCATGATAAAAAGGATAATTCTGTGTTTGTGTGGGGCCATTCATCACATTATCACATTTTTAGCATCTCTAATGATTGCAACAACTAAAATTATTTGCACACATTTCCAAATAGTCCCAGAAGGGCTATATCATCCTGGATGGGAACCATTGGTCCATAAGTTGATCTGAAAATTGAAATTAAAACCCAATGCCACTTCCCATCTATGTTTGTTTGCCTGCAATCTGTCCTCTGCCTGGCAGCAGAGTTGGGATGGAACCTTCCCCTGTGGTAGCCCTTTGGCGTCTTGTTCTTAGGGGAAGGGCTGTGCATGCTCTGATACCAGCCACCTCCCCAGCTTTGTCTCTTGCTCTCTCCATTTAATCACACTGAACAAAACATATTCTGTTTTCCTACTTTGGACCATTACACGCACTGTTGCCTCTGCCTACCCTTATTTAATTTTTTCTTTTTTTTGGTACTGATGATTTAGCCCATGGCCTCACACATGCCCAAGCCCATGACTCTTCTTCTTTAGGTCTTAGTGTAAACCTCACTTCCTTCTGAGGAACTCTTGCCTGACTTCATTCCCCAGGATAGGTGAAGATTTCCCGGGCATCCTGTGGTTCACCTGCACCTTCTGGGAGACACCACAACACAGCCATTTGGATCATACACACAGGAATCTCTGGTTTCAAATCCTAACTCCACCATTTACTAATTTTGTAATCATAGTTTTCTTAATTTCTTTCTTCCCTTTTCCCACCTAGAACCAAAAACCTAGCAGGGTACTTGTGCACAGTTGATGCTCAATAACTGTCTGTAGCCTGGCACATTCTGACTTTTGGGCAGGGGTTGTTGACCCTCAGTAAAATCACCAGGGGAGATTTTAAAATACTGATGCCCCAATTTTATCCCAAACTTTATGAAAGCAGACAGATGGAGATAAACACGCACAAAGTTTTTGAGAACTTCTGTAATCACTCCGGGAAGAAGGAAGCAGGATAGGGTCTGGGAATTAGCATTTTATTAAGTGTCCCAGGTGGCTATAATATGCAACCTCAAGAACTATTGCTGTAAATGATTAACTATGATAAAAGCAGAAAAGGAAACAAGGAGTAGTGTTCCTGTAATCCCAACATTGGGGAGTCAGAGACAGGAGGATCACAAGTTCAAGGCCATCCTGAGCAACTTAGTATCTATTAAGACCCTATCTCCAAAAAGAGTCGGGGTGGGGGGAGGGATGCTGGGGATGTAACTCAGTGCAAAGACCCTGGGTTTAATTCCCAGTACTATGAAAATAAAAATACAAAAAGCAAAAAAGGAAGAGTCTAAGAAAGACCCTGTGTTTTAGGCTGGTAGCCAGCTAAGCCACCCTGCAGCCAGGCATGGTAGACCTAAAGGGCCAGGCAGAGGCATGTCTGTGTAGGCTCCCACCCTAAAATGCTGAGAGATGGCCCTGTGACCACACAGCAAAGTTGGGTAAGTGGCCTTCCTGCCCTAGAAATCTAGAGTCAGTGTTGTGCTCCTTATGTGTGTACCTCTTAGTCAGGGAAACCCACTTCAAAGCTTGAGTAAGAGTTTTCCAGAAATGTGACACCAAAACTTACGTGATTGTTTCTCACATGTGGCTTGTGTCAAGTTCCTCTAAATATTCCTGCAATTCAGAAAGGAATGTTAAGTCACAAAGTACCCAAAATAAGCACATGGCAAATACTTGCCAGCTGTTACAGTCGAGAAGCTTCTACTGGTTGTTCTTTATGGCTTAATAATTCAGTATTTAACTTATTCTGAACTGATGACAGCTTTAAGATATTTTCCTGAGCATAGTGAGCTTAGCATACATCTTATAATAGAATTTATAATGACTGAGATTCTGAAATGAACTCGCTGGAACTTCTAGAGAGTTCCAGTTCAACCTGGGTCAGAACAAGGGACAAGTTGACTGCTTATCAAGTATCTACTTCGTGCTGAGTAATGTACTCACTCTTGTTTAATCATTAAGAAATATGCTACAATAGCACATTCCAAATTTATAGGTGAAGAAACTGAATTTTAACAAATTAAAATAGTTTGATTCTTCTTGTTTCTTTGCCACTTATTCAGATCCCAGACAAAATCCTTGAGATACTTCTAGTATTCATCTCAAATCTGTCCCTTCGCTATCTTCCCAGCTACTATCCTAGCTTAAAAAGCTATCAATTGGGCCTGGGGATTTAGCTCAGTGGTTCCGGCACCTGCCTCACAAGTGCAAGGTCCCGAGTTCAATCCCCGGTACCAAAAAAAAAAAAAAAAAAGCTATCAATTTCACCAAAATTACTTCAATAACTTCCTAATTGCTTTCCATCTTTCTACCTTGCCCTGTCTGTATTCCACAGGCAGCAGCCAGAATCACTACTTGAGACAGAAGTCAGATCATGGCCCTTCCCTGCCCCAAACTGTGCCATTTACGATAAAGTTTCATCCCTTCCTGTGGTTTCCAAGTCCTTACATAATCTGGTCCTTGCCTACATTGCTGACTTTATCTCCCTCTGCTGTGCTCATGTCACACAGTCACACGGGACTTCTCTCTGTCCCACTATAGAACCCCTTTGTGCATCATCAGATTATTCCTCGTCATATAGCCTCGTTTATTTCGTGCTTAGCAATTATCTCAATCAGAAATTATCTAATATATTTGTTCATTGTCCATTTCTCTTCTCTTATGAAAATATAATCCTCATGAGAATAAGGACTTTGTTATATTATTTATCTCTGTGTCTATAGCACCCATGCAAAGTGGATCCTCAGCAAAATTCTTCTCAATAGATTTTGTTTTGTGTGTATGTGGCCAGTGAATAAATAAATGGGTGAGTAGACTTTCTAAGTTTGGCTAGCGGTGGAGCTGAGATGTGACTCACGGCCTCGCTCATGCAGGCCTGCCCTTTGGTGCAGGGGATCTTTAGGCAGTCAAGGTCACTCTCAGCCTTAGAGAAGGCCTGTGCAGCTGGAGACAGTGAGGCTTCCCAAGCCTATCTGGGTGCATCAGTGCCTTCTGTTATTTTATTTTATTCTTGCAACACTCCTATAAAAGAAGGAAAGCACTGCTCTGTAGTGCCCCTGGCATCGCAGAGTACAGTTAGACTAGCCCGAAGTCACCCAGATGTGGTACTAGAAATTAATGGCTGAACAGAGAACCTGTTGCGTCTGTGTCTCCATTGTGGGAGGGACCTTGCTACCTGTGCTCTGTGTCTTCATCACCCTATTCCTAAAGCCACTCAAGTGTAATTTGTCAGGGGCTGGCTCAAGGGCTTCCTACTTTCCTGAGCACTGTCTTCTTCTCCCCATGGGTAGCCACAGAGCTGAGTGAGGGGAGCCCGGCAGATCTGTAAAGAAGTCAAACCTTTAAGCTTCTCTCCCTGTTTCTTCTCCCTCACTCCTGATAGCCACATGCTAGCCCATCTGTGCCTTCCTACACGGCCTGGCAACATACTGGACATGTTTCTTCACCTTCCTCTCCCCCATTAGTACTTAACCGGTCCATGTTAAGGACAATGGGCAATAATTAGACTAACAACTCCTTACTACCTCCCTAAAATAGTCTAATCTTTAATGGGAACTGTAATATAGCACCTTCTTTAAGGAATGATAGCAGTGGTAAGAATTTCCTGAGACCATTCTGAGAAAGTAGCGCCATGGTGGAGATTCTGTGTCATCTTTATTAAAGCTGCCAAAATGAAGACTTGTCCTGAACCCATTCTAACATGCCATGTGATGCCATAGTCCCCTAAGGAAAGAAAACATTATAGCCCCAGTTAACAAATGAGAAAAACTAAGGCAGAAAATTAAGAACATTGTTCAACATCACACAGCTATTAAATGGCAGAGCTAAGAGCCAGATCCAGGGCTTTTTATACCTGGAATCCATGCTTTTTATGTAATTCCTAAAAGCCTCTCAGCCCAGTGTCAAAAGTATAGGATCTGGTAAGACCCCACCTGGCCTTGACTCTCAGGATTTATTGAAAAATAAAGGGCTTTATTATTGAATCACAAGTATTCCATTTTGAAATAAGTTTAGCTCCTAGGATGGATCAAAGCTCAAGGTGCCTGGACACAAATAAAGGAGAGCTGTGGGGAAGAGGGAAATGTAGCCTAATGCTGAAGACGCTTGGCTGTGGAGTCTGCTGCCTACAGCTTTAGAATTGGGCCAGTTATGTAACCTTGTACCCTATGTAACCAGTGTAACCCTTCACTTTCTTTCATGTGTAAAATGAATGAACTAGTACTGCCTACTTTGTAGGATTTGGGCAGAGAGCCAATGAGATGCATCAGGAAAAGCTTTAGCAAAGTACCTGGCACATAGTCAACATTTATTAAAGTTAGCTGCACAGAGAGAGAGAGAGAGAACCTCAAGTGTATTTATCTAGGTCACATTTATGTAGTACATGGATAATTCTGCACCCTGATTTTTGTTGTGAGGTACTATACACTTTAAACTAAAACTCTGGTCAAAGTTGAATCTTTTTGAGCAATACTAGACTTTCTTAAAGAAATGGCAATTTTTACATAATCATGAACAAACCATCTACAGTATTTTTTTATGTTTTTGAAAGGGCATATATCATGAAATGATTTTCTGGATCTGTCTTACCCCAGCAGGTAATCAAAAGTTACCTGAGTCTTTCACATGCCACAGAGAAAACTGATGAAGTAAAGTCATATGCTTTTCTTAGAAGCCAGTGGCCAAGACAGACTAGACTATGATTGTCGGAAATTCCATAATGATGTGTATAATCACTAGTTTTACACCCTCAAATCCTAAGTCTAACATAAGCCTGGTCACCAAGGCACAAGTATTCCATCCTGCAACACTTCCCGCAGCTAGTTTTCCCTCTAACAAAGGTCTTTCAGTGGCTTGGTAATTAGAAGCAATGGGAGGAACTCTATGTTGTGTTCATTAAATAGTTCTTTTAGGAAAAATAAGTTAAACAAGCTGTAATAAGCAAATGACCAGGCATTCTGTTTCTTCTGGGCCTGGTTTCATGGCTCAGTAGTAATTAAAATCTTCACGGTAAAATCTTCTAAGTCTGCATCTATACTGTTGTAGGACTAAAAAACAAACTTCAAATGTCACTTACGCATTTAGTAGAAAGGCCTCATCTGGCCAGTCTGAAAAAATACACACATTTTTTACTAGGTGCGACCCTTAAGTCAGCCCTTCTTAGGCTGTGTGCCAAGGAGCACCCCTCCCTTGAGATGTTCCATTGAATGAGGATTCTGAGGAATTCTGGGGAATTCAGTAACTGTTATGGCTTGTGTCTAGATGTCCCTGCAAAGCCTCATGCAATCATATGTGGGGCTTTTTCAGAAGTGGCTGAATCTAGAGTGTGTGATGCTGGGATTGATTCATGATGCAATGCTAGGCTCAAGGACATTAAGATTAAGGGTGTGAGTGCTACCCTGGGTAGCACTGGATAAGATAAAAGGGATAGAAAGAACAGTGGTCTATCCCTTGTTGCTTTGCTAACTTCTGCCCATCATGAACTGTTTCTCTTCTGCAATGCCACTCTACCTTGGAGCCAGTTGATTATGAACTGAAACCTCTACAAACTTTGAGCTAAATAAACCTTCTTTCCTTTAACTTTGAGTGTCAGGTATTTTGTTTCAGCAATGAGAAAAGTAGCTAAAACAGTAACATATTACAAACTCTTGAGAAGGTCTCCATTAAAGAATTGTTTAACTTTGTTTATGGTGGCAATTCTCTTAAAGCATCTGATCTAGAATCCTTGTTTTGTGTAGCTCCTGTGGTATCATCCTACTCTCCTAGTACTTAATGCATTGTATAGAAAGTGTCTGTTTACCTGCCTAACTACTTAAATCAGATTGTAAACTTCTGAATGCTAGGAATCTATGAATTTATTATTTGCTTATCTATTTATCTATTTGCAGTACTAGGGATTGAACCCTAGTCCTTCATAATGACCTACATCCCCAGCCATTTTTTTTATTTTGAGACAGGCTCTCACTGAGTTGCTAGGTTGCCCAGGTTGTGTTCAGACTTTGGATCCTTCTGCCTCAGCCTCCTAATGTGCTTGAATTATATGAATAAGCCACCACACCTGGTGTGTGTGTGTGTGTGTTTGTGTTTGTGTATGGTGCTGAATACCAAACCACAAAGGGCCTTTGCACTGAGCTATAGCCCCAGTTCTTTTTTATTTTTTTAAATTTTGAGACAGAGTCTCACTAAGTTGCTAGGTTACCCAGGCTGTGCTCAAACTTGCAGTCCTCCTGCCTCAGCCTCCCAGAGTGCTTACATTATAGGCATGTGCTACCACATCTTTTTGTTTGTTTGGTTTTGAGACAAAGTCTTGCTCTGTACCCCAGGCTGGCCTTGAACTCACTATGTAGAATCCCAGGCTGGCTTTAAACTTGCAGCAATCCTCTTACCTCAGGCTCTTGATTATAGACATACACCACCATGCTTTTTTTTTTTCCCTAATGCCAACACAGTTTCTGTCAAAGGGAAGATAGTCAATAAAAAATTAAGAAAGAGAATTGTCATGGATCTGTATTGTTGGCAAAGAAGAACAATATAATTCCATCCAAGAAAGAAGGAAAATTAAATGTTTCTACCTGTGGATCAGATAAACAGTGCTTGCTTATTGAACAACACCTGAG